GCGGTGGTGAGGTTGGCCCAGGATCGAACATTGTTTCGTTCTGCTGTGCATGGAGTCGCTATGAGTCGGTTTCGACTCGATGGCACCTGACAACAACAACTAGAAGCTGAAATAGACAAAGAAGGACGTCCCCTAAGAGGCATGCCCTGAACTCAGACTTTTAGTCTTGGGAACTGTGAGAAAATAAATTCTATTTTTAAAAGGCATTCACTTGTGGTATTTATGTTATGATAGTATCAGGTAACTAAGACACTTACTAGCCCATGAAGAAATGTGGCAAAGCAGTCAAAATACTTCCAGTTCCCATAACGATGCAACCAATTCCAATTATTCTTGGTCTATGTAGCTTGGATCCAAAGTAACTTACAAATACAATCACAAGCAAATTTCCTGGAAAGAAAACAAAAGTTTTTAGATATAATTCACTTAGGAAATATTGACTGAAACCAATTTTGTGTTCAGTGACATAAGCAAATCCTAGCATGAATGCAAATACAGCACAAGTGGGACCTTCCATGAAAGGTCCTGATATTTAATTGAGAAGATGAAACTCACCTAGATTAAAACACTCATTAGAAGTTCTGTGGCATTCATAATAAGCAAACAAGGCTTTTAGATGCAAAATAAACCACTAAGCAATATTGTTGTTTAACAACAACAAAGATAATCAGCCTCAGCAATATTATACAGTGTCACTATGAGTTGGAACTTACTCAATGGCACTTAGCAACTACAACAAATCATATAGATTTAAAAGAGCAATCATGATGCATTGATAATTAGTGGTGATTGGAATGTTAAGGTTGGAAACAAAGAGGAGGATCAATAATTGGAAAATATGGCCTTGGTGATAGAAATTATGCTGGAGATCATAGGATTGGATTTTGCAAGATCAATGACTTATTCATTGCAAATACCTTCTAAAAACAGCATAAAAGGTGTCTAAACACAAGGGCCTCACCAGAAACAATACACAGAAATAAAATTGACTACATCTATGGAAAGAGACAGTGGAAAAGCTCAATATCATCACCAAAACAAGTCCACCAGTCAATTGAGAAACAAACAAACCATCAATTTCTCATGGAAGTTCAGGCTGAAGCTGAAGAAAATTGGAATAAGTCCATGAAAGTCAAGATACAATCTTTAATATTTATCACCTAAACTTAGAGACCATATCAATAATGAGCAAAAACTCGAAGAGTTATGGGATGATATTAAGAACATCATACAGAGAGAAAACAGAAGATCATTATAAAGCAAAGAAAGAAAGAAAAGACCAAAATTGATGTCAAAAGAGATTCTGAAACTTGATCTTGAGCAGAAAGAAATTAGAGCAAAGAAAGAAATGAGGAAGTCAAAGAGCTGAACACAAATATTCAAATGGCAGCTCTAGAAGACAAAGTGAAGCATTATAATGACATATTGCATTAGGCAAATCTGCTGTTAAGTGTTCAATAGCAAAGGTATCAGTTTGAGGTGCTCCTGACCCAAGTCATGGTATTTTCAATCACCTTATATGCATGTGCAAAATTGAACAGTAAATGAAGAAGACCATTAAAAAATTGATGTGTCTGAATTATGGTGTTGGAGAAGAATAAAAGTACAATGGGCTGTCAGAAGAATGAACAAATATGTGTTGGAAGAAGTACAGCCAATATTCTCCTTAGAAGTCTGGATTGTGAGACTTCATCTCTCATACTTCACACATGTTATCAGGAGGGTCCAGCCCTTGGAGAAGGACATAATGCCTGCTACAGTAGAAGGTCAGCAAAAAAGAGGTAGGTCCCAATGAGATGGCCTGACACAGTGGCATCAGCCGTGGGCTCAAGCATAACAATTGTGAGGACTTGCCAGTCTTTCATTCTGTTGTGAATAGGCTCACTCTGAATTGGAACCAACTCAAAGACACTTAACAACAACAGATAATGAATTTTTAGTCCTTCTGCATCATTAAATGTGGGAGGAAAAATGAAAAATGGGAAGAGATAATGAGCTACCAATTCCTAAAATTAGAAAACAATAATGTTTAGTCACTATATAAAATCTCACTATTGTTATTGGTGTGGTGCTATAGGATAAGCAATGGACTGCTCACCACAAGGTCAGTGGTTCAAACCCACTAAGCAACTCCTATACAAATCTGCTGAGTCAGAACCGACTCAGCAGCATTTAACAACACATTATTGGTAAAGGTCCAAAGGTGATACAGTGGTTAAGCACTTGGTTGTGATCCAAAAAGTAAATGGTGGTTCAAATTCATCAGTCGCTCCACAGGAGAAAGACACGGCAGTTGCGTCTGTAGCTCTGGCTATGGGACTTTTCTGTAGGCTCACTGTCCCATTCGTTTACTATGAGGTGGAGTAAACTCAGTGGCAATGGGTTTGGCTTGAGCACTATTGGAGATTTGAAAATTAAAATGTTGACCACAGACGTAAAATAGTTAAAGCTATATATATATATATATATGTAAAAGAAACCATTGACTTTTAACTCTCAATTCTATACCGAGTTAAGCAGTATAAACCTAATATATGTTGCTCAAAAGCTGTCCTTCATTCCTCAAATCAACTGAATCTTTCCTTTCCCTTTCAAACTTTCCTTGAACTGAAGCTACAGGTAAAAGGGAAGGGTAAGGTCTACAGATATGAGTTTACATGTAATGAATTTGTGCCAATTAAGTTTTTCATCCTCATCACTACTGACAGTTTCGACTTGATGTATTTCTTTTCTGCGGGATGTTATGCTATGCATTTTAGCTTAACTGTAGGATGTTTAAGAGAATCTCTGGCCTTTACTCACCAAATGGTAGTAGTACTCCTCCTTCCCCAGTTGTGACAACCAGAAGTATCTCCAGATATTGCCATATTGCCCCTGACAGGGATGGGGCGATTTATCCCATGTTGAGAATCAGTGGTGTGCATGTATGAGCAGTTAAAAAAAAAAAAAAATCTCTGCAAATATGCTTACTAATATTTAAAATTGAAATAAAACTTACCAATTTCAAAACTTCCATCAATTAAGCCAGCGACCGAAGAGGATATATCAAATCTCCTTTCTATTTGAGTAATGGAAGTTTTCATAATGATACCACCTAGTGATTTAGCAATAAAGCTTAATGACAGGGCCATGAAGAACACCTAGGAAAAAGCAGTAGGAAAGAGAAAAAAAGGGTTACTCAAAGGACTAAATACAGTTTTTATTTGAATGGAGTTTAAATAGTTTTCTTCTTTATTCAAATAAATGATATTTATTATCAAAAGCACAACCAACTTTATCCTATATTAATTTGTATTTCTCAATCTTTTTAATTTCAGCATCATTCTACTAGTAAAGTATCATTTTCTAGATTTAGATAATTAAAGCTGTACAGTCAGGGTTGATCATTTTTAATTGGTGTCTTTAACTGATTTCTAAGAAGGTAGTGTTGAAGAGCAGAGAT